AACTGGAGTCCAGGTTCACAAGGGGACAGACACAAAGATGTCCATCATAGTAGCAGATTAGAGGCAACTGGGGGTACATCACTGGAGAAATGGGTAAACAAAGCATGGTGTATACATACAGTAAAATACTATCTAGAATTTAGAAGCAATAAACTAGTGTTACATACAGCAGCATGGGTAAATCTCTAAATTAATATTTATTTAAAAATTACAAACTGAGTGAAGGCTACAGTATAATGTCATGTATATAAATTAAAAACAGATGTACATATAAAACAGTACCACATATGTTTCAAGGAAGCATATATATCCAAAGATAACTGTAGCTTTGAGCTCAAATGCAATATAATGATGCTCTATTATGAGGAGGTTGGCAAACAGAGTTAAAATGATGAATGAAAGTCTAAATAATAAAATGCGGGGGTGGGGGGGAGATGCCTTTGTGTAGACACATGGCATATGTGCTATACATTTTTCAAGTTTTTACTTAATTTAAATTCTAGTTAGTTAACATATATGGTAAAATTGGTTTCAGGTGTAGAATTTAGTGATTCATCACTTACCTACAACACCCAGTGCTCCTCACAACAAATGCCCTCTTTAATGACCCTCACCCATTTATTATTAACTTAACACCCTCCACCTGAGATTTAAAAAAAATATAAGTTATATAATGCTGTACTTGTAACTTAAGAAAAAATATTACAGGAACAAATATATATAAATACTCTCATTTACTGACTATCCCAGAACATGCCAGGCTTGCATTATTTTCTTAAGACTTAAGTAAGCCATTGCCCCCTCATCCTCAGTGATCTTTACCTATCCAATGACACCCTTCAAAATACAATTTAAGTTCTTATTCTCCATAAGGCCTTTTAAATTGTTCCATTTATGTAAATGTCTTCCTGAAACCAATCACTTTTATAAGCTGTGCCACAACACCTAAGACTTAATGATATATTGAATATATTGTTCTCTATCACTCTGTATTATGTCTTTCCCAGGGCTTCCTCTACCAGATGTTAATTGCATAAAAAGCAGAGAGACTTCTTTGGAGCCTCCTGTTCTGCCAAAAACAGAGATCTTTATGTGGGAGTATCTCAATTAATAGATTTCCAGTTAAGATTTTGGATTGTGGTGGCAAAGGATGGGTAGATGGGATCATAACTGAAGGTTGAAAAAAATTTATCCTTTTGCTGCTGAGAATTAGTTTTGCAAGTGGGGAGAATACACGTTCCTTTTGGAATTGGAGTTCCTTTTGGAACTAGAGGAGAAAGAGTAGAATAATCACTATCACACTGTGAATTGAATAGCCCTCCAGTCAATGAAAGAGATGAAGTTTGCTATAAGTTCCTCTCTTTTCTCAGTGTTTTCTTGCTTAAAACTACACTATTTTATCCCTGAACACTAAAAGAATTTTGTTTTTACTTCAATCTACAAAATAAAACTAGTAAGAGCCAACTCAGGATGCGCTTCCTCAATCTAGAAAACTGTTCAACAGCTCCTTCTCCCCTTTAAAGGAAATATGCTTCTTTTGTTTTTGATGAAAATTATCATTTTGTTAAGGTTACTAAATGCATAAATTCCTAAAGTGCCGTGGGTCATTCTTCTGGAGGCTATGGAAGAAAGAAATGCCCTACGTAATGGGAGTTGATAAACTGAGTTGGATTCTCACCAAGATTCAAAATCTCATTTACCTGTGTTCTGCAAATGATTTGAATGGCAGCCAAGTGTTGTCTCAGAGAGGCAAACTGATCTTTGTGTAAGATCCAAAGGGAGGTTGGAGCTTTGAAACAAGAAGATACACATAGCTTGCTCAGCACTTTGGAAGGTGCAAAAGAGATGTGGGTTCGCTCCAGGAAATGATGGTTGAAGGGAAAGTAATGCAAAGCATAAAGAAGCAGGGATACGATGTGATAAGGGTGCAATATCTATTTCAGCTACTTACTAGTTTTGTCACCTGGATTGAGTCAGTAAACATCTCTGAACCATTGCTTTCTTTTTTGTATGATAAAGAGGTGAGAAAATCTTTAATTTGTATTCATCTATGAATGTTATCATGAGCTAAAAAGATCAGTTGACAGCTAAAAAAGATATGAACAGATAAGGAACATAAGAGAAGAAACTGAGTTTCATTCATTTTTCTAGTAATGAAATGGGCCTGAAACAAGGTAGGTACTTAACAAATATTTGTTGAAAGGATGAATCAGAAGAATGGAATAGATCAAGAGGAAGTAAAGTCAGAAGAGAGCACCAAGACTCAAGAGACTCTCAGGCCAGGCATGTAGGAGGCAGAGGATGGAATTTAGGAAGGCAGAGAAGAAACTATCCTCTTTGCCCAGAGATCAGGACCAGGGAAAAGCTGCAGGAGCCAGGGTTGCTGTAGCATAAAAGTGCTGAGAGACCGTTATCTGTCCAGGAGATTAGCAGGCATGTGTTAGAAAATTAAGATTCAGAGTAATAATGCCTACCCAAGTATACCTTCAATAACATGTCTGAACATTTAGAATTATATTTGAGGCAACTAGAAGGTAAGGTGAGAAAGGGAAATGATGTGTCTCATGAAATTGCCATAGGTAAAATCAGACAGACCAGAGTTTAAACCCAAGTTACCATTCACTAGTAGTACAAATAATGGCAAAAAATTAATCTGAGATATCTAGAAAACAAAGACACTAATTCTGAAAAATGAACACTATAGTATCTACTCTGAAGAACTGTTTTGAAGATGAAGTAAGTAAACATATGAAAAGGACCTAAAATATGCCTAATACGATTTAAAAAAAAATTGTTATTGTTATCATTACTATTGTATTAATGTTTTTGTTGTTACTACAGCTATTATGCCTAACAGAGTATGTATCAGCCAACTCCATCTTTGGCTTGACTTGAGATCAAGAATTTGCAATTTGTAAAGCAAATTCCTTCATTTTTGGGGGTTTTCTTCCAAGTGTGTTTTTTTCCTCCTTAGTGCTTTTATTTTTTTTATTTATTTATTTTTTTCTTAGTGCTCTTTTAAAAGTGCCCTCCAGGGGCGCCTGGGTGGCTCAGTTGGTTGAGAGTCCCACTTAGGCTCATGTCATGATCTCGTGGTCTGTGAGTTTGAGCCCCACGTCGGGCTCTGTGCTGACAGCTCAGGGCCTGGAGCCTGCTTCAGATTCTGTGCCTCCCTCTCTCTCTACCCCTCCCCTGCTCATGCTCTGTCTCTCTCTGTCTCAAAAATAAACGTTAAAAAAAATTTTTTTAAAGTGCCCTCCACACACACACACACACACACACACACACACACACATACTTCTAGCTTTGTCTTAGCAGCACCAAGGAAAAAGGACTTATCCACTCAGGCCAAGGAGGCTAAGTGGCAGGTGGCTGTAGTCTGGCCAATTAGGCCCAGGATCTCAGATGTTAGAGGAACAGAAAAGTCAAAGCAGAACCATGGGAAGGGCATGAATAGAGACAGGAATGGTTGAAGTTTTCCTTTACATGACTCTGTAAGAGATGGACCATATGGCTTTTAACTATACTTGGATAACCTTCCTAATAAGAGGTGATATCCCCCCCTAATGTTTATTTCTAGTTTATAATCGTTGACCCTTGAAAACTACAGGTTTGAACTGCGGGAATCCACTTACACGTGGAGTTTTATTTTTATTTTTTTTTATAAATACAGTACTGTAAATGTATTTTCTCTTCCTTTTGATTTTCTCAATAACATTTTCTTTTCTCTAGCTTACATTATTGTAAGAATACAATATATAATACATGTAACACACAAAATATGTGTTAATTGTTTATACTCTTGGTAGGCTTCCAGTCAACAACAGTCTATTAATTAAGTTTTGGGGGAGTCAAAAGTTATTCGTGGACTTTTGACTGTGCAGGTGTCAGCACCCTTAATCCAGTATTATTCCAGGGTTGACTGTAATACCTTTGAGCGGGAGTAGGAGGACCATTGTTTCCTAAACGCTACTGCTTTGTAAGATACATCCTTCTAACAATAGACAAAGTTAGATATGATGTGAAAACTCGGCAACTGGACAGATAAATAAGAAAATTAATATAAGATTTGTTCAGAAATTACATTAATACTGATAACTTGCCAGTGGATATACTAGAGTTAACACACCACATGGTTTCTCACTATTAAATCAAATTTTCAAAGAAATTTAGTTCTGGTGAAATGTATTAGACTGTTAAGCAAAAGTTTTAGCTGGTTTCGAAATTACCTTCATCCCCAAAAGGGTTGGACTCTGACAGAAATAGCCCTCACTCCCTAAGTCATTCCCTCATTCCGCCCTTAAACTCCCTGATCATAGTTTTGATATTACTTCATAAATTAGGAGGCCAGCAGACTATTTTAGTTAAAAGGGCCTGGGTAAGCCCAGAGTAGATGAAGATGAAGGCAGGGCTGGCTTTCCCTTCTAATTTTCCGCCCAAACTTTCATGCTGAGGAAATGATTTCCAAGTATTTAGAGCAATCTCAGTTCTACACGCCAGGCGCAAAGTATGATTTCTCTAAAAAAGGGAAAAAAAAGTGCCTTAACCCCTAAATCTGTGTGTGAATTTCTAGCGTAAGGAAACACACTCAGGTAGTGTCATGTGACCAACAAGCGGAAAATGGAGAGTGCGCTGCACAGTCGAGTGTAGGACGTGTGTTTGGCTTGCTTGTTTGCTTCAAGTCCTCAGAGAGAGAGAGAATAGAAGACACACCTGCATTGACCGACTGAGGGACTGGTGAAGGGCTGCCCGTGAGGTGCTGAGACATTCTAAATAGAAGGATAAGCTGTGAGGGAAACAAGTCTGCAGTCAGAGGAACAAAGGCGTCATTGGGCGGCAGTACGCAACCCGAAGTGGTTTAGGCTTACCGGGAGGGAGGACGGCCGGGAAAGCTCACAGCCAGGAGGCAGCCGCGCAGGGCTGCTAGAGGCGCGCCTCCTCATGAGGCCCCGCCCTTCAGGAGCCCCGCCCCGCCAGCGTCGGGCCAATGGGAGCCCGGGATGTTAGCGGGTGGGAGGTGCGGCCGGGTTGCTACAGCCGGAGCTGGGCGGTGGCGGCGGCGGCAGCGGCGGTGGCAGCTGCTGCGGGCGCTGCTGGAGGAATCTCGCGGAATCAGAGGTGGTGGCGCAATGGAGGGACTGGAAGGTGAGGAGGTGAAGGAATACGGGCCGGGCGGTTAGAGCGGACCCGGAGCAGCCAGGGGTGCCCAGGACAGCGGTACCGGGGAAGCGAGGGCGGGTCCGGAGTGGTGGACCCCGCCGCTCCTCCCGAGGCCCTGGCAGGCGGTAGCTCTACAGCTCCCGACACGGTGGAGCTAATGATCCTCTGGCTGCCCCGCTTCAGACGGTCTTCAGCTGGGGTTCTCCACCTCGAGCTTGATACTGCCTTTGGCATCTGCCTGCAGGTCTCTTCCTAACGTCTTCTGGTCTTGCCTGATTCCTGAGTGTCCTTTTGGTAATCATAGACTCCGGACAGATTTTATTTTTCTTGCAAAGTAGATTCTTTATTATTGTCCATGGGCTCCCTACCGCTAGCCTTTCCTGGGGGGCCTCGGTGTGTATTTCCACCTCTAGGCTGTTTCCAGCCTCTAGATTCTGACACTTTCCTTGGCCAGTTTCCCTAGGTAACCGTTTTTCTATTTGTACCGCATCTTCTGTTGGAGGGATGCCAAGAGCATCTCCCAAGGAAGAGTCACTGGCCAGCTTTAGAGCCGGGACAATAGATTAACAGAAGGATTTAAGATTTACTCATTACGATTCTGTAAGAAAGAGCCGGCATTGATTCCTTATCTTTTGAGTTTATCCTTGTGCTGTAACCATGACTCCAGATTTTGCTTTTTTCCCAATTCTTTCACTTCTCTATTATTTTTATCCATTTAATCCTGTGTAGTATAGCGTTTGCCTAAAAACAACAAAGGAAAAAAAAAAAACCAACTAACATTGGCAACAACAGTTTCAAGATTATTTTTCAAATTGTGGTTAATCCTTTCCATGAAGAAGAAGCCTGCAGAATTGAAAAATCATGTTGCCTTGATTTAGCTCTTTTTCCCCCCTCCTAGTTTACATAGATTCAGGTGGAATTAAAAATAAACAGAAGCATTGAGCCCTGTATTGTTGCATGCCAGAGAGCAAATTATTTCAGGTTATGTTATGAAAAGTAATAACTGGTAACTTTTTGCAGTTACCTAAGCTCACCAAAAAACAAGTGTAATGATGAGTATGATAGTGTTTCATGCTTTTGCTCTCATAGTAAACAGCTTGAGAATGGTAGATAAGAATTCTGATAATTTTCCATTTGTGGGCAGCTGCAGTATACTGTTGCAAATGAAGGTCTTAGTCTTTGATCATTTAATTTATTTTAGGGGGATCATTAAGCTTCCATGAGATAGGAATTGTAATGATAGCATTCCTTACTTTCAATATTTTTTTTAGAGGACTCCTGGAGGCATCTTATTTTTAAAAATTTTTTTACATTTATTTATTTTTGAGAGAGAGAGAGAGAGAGAGAGAGAGCGAGCGCGCGCGCGGGGGAGGGGCAGAGAAAGAAGGCGGCACAGAATCTGAAGCAGGCTCCAGGCTCTGAGCTCTCGGTACAGAGCCCAATGTGGGGTTCGAACTGAAGAACTGTGAGATCATGACCTGAGCTGAAGTAGGAGGCTTAACCAACCGAGCCACCCAGGTGACCCGGCGTCTTATATTTTTTAATGTATTTTGTAATATGTGTTGGTCTTATAGCATAATGGGTTCTGGAATTTTCATGAAGTTATCAAAACATACTTAAAATGCTTTAAAACAGTTTTTCTGCAGATTTTTATTATTTTATTCAACATTTGTAATTAAGGCAAAGATCTTCATCTGCTTTTTCACTTATGTATGCTAAGCACCTAAAACTGTCTGACACAGAGTAGGTACTTAATAAATATTTGTTGTTAGATTAATGACTTTGTCTATGGTGGGCATCATTCTAGGCCCTGGAGACGTAGCAAAAAATATAAAGTCAAAGCTCTGCACTCATTAAGTCGGTATTTTAGTAAACCTTACATTTTTGCAGTACTAAGACATTACTATTGAAATCTTAATAAGAATGCTTTTAAAATATAATGAAAACCTATTATAGTACTCAATTACATGGGTGGAGAAATACATGTATTCTGATGTTAATATAGTGTGTTATGAGGGGCACGTTTTATGGGCCCAGCTTGTGATGTATCATGGTAAATAGTAACTTGCCCTTTACTTTTGTTTTTGTTTTGTTTTGAGTTTTAAACAAAATTAGTTATTATCATTAACTATAATGTGTTTAGTTCTAATGAATTAGGTTAAAGTATATTAAATTGGTTTTCTGTACAGAAAAGTAATTGAATATTAGTAATTTCAAAAGTGGTTTAAACTAATACAACAAAAGCTCTGAGAAGTTTTGTTGAAGTTAGAACAGTGCCTATCTTTCTTTCCTTCTTTTTTAAAATCAGTCCCTATGAGGTCACATTTTGCAAAGATCATAAGTTTGAATCTTAAGGTTACCATTCATTAATTCATTTATCCATGTCTTCATTTAATAAACATTGATACAGTGATAAGTAAGATAAAGTTTTCCCCTTATTGGAAGTTAAAATCTAGCACTAAGTGTCTAATAAACATTATATTGAAGTGTCCAGTAGAAAATCTTCAGGAATTTGCTCAACATCGTAGTAATTGAGCAAATATTGTACTGTTTGGCATTATACCCATGTTTCTAGTTGAAACCAGTAACTGGACTAAGCTTGATTATAAAACCAGAAAATATATGGGCTCCTAAAAAATTCTATTGAAGATTATTGTACTCTTTTAAAAATTATTTTTATATAAAACAAGTACCACTTATATTATTTTTGGTCTTCTGGGACTTTCATGTTTTCTAGTTGTTAACGGGATGAGGTATCAGTCCGAACACTGTATTTCAAAACTAAATATAAATTATTGCTCATGATTTTGTGTAATCTATATCTGAGCACTTCTGTGTTCTGTGTGTAGTTAGAGCAACGCCTTTAATTCCTTTTCACCTAAATCTTGTGCTCAGTAGTTATACTCGAGACCAGTAGAAGTAGTTCTAGACTTGGGAGAGTTCCAATCTCTCCCAAGCTTTTCATCCTTAAAATGTAGAAATGATAAACTTTAAGCAGATTTAATCAATACAGTATTGTCATTTCTCTCATAACATCTTGATAAGTGGTTACTAACAGTTTTAACAGAGATCAGGCTGCCCATTCCTTTTGTGGGTTACTAACTTAGTAGATCTTAGTGTACTATCTTCTAAAACCTCATTAGAAGTCTAATTCTTCTTCTCTAATGTAGCCTCTGATTTAGTTAACACAAGCATTCCTGACCCATTAGAGTTTCCTTTTTGTTTTGTTTTTCCCTAGTCCAAACACATACTAGTTTACTGAACAATTCTTCATCTTTTTAAATTTATCT